CCCTGGTCTTCAGTACTAGAATATCTCGCAGAACAGTAAAAGTTTTGGAGGCGCTACTAGCACTACCGTACTTCAGCCGCCCCCCCCTCCCCCCCTTTTTGCTTCATTGTTCGAAGTAACCCATATTTATCAATTATTGGCCACCAGGTCAACATCACAGGTACGATGCATTTTTGGGGCCTGACAATTGATACTGTGAGTACTATCTGTCTGGTGCTGGCGGTTGGGCTGTCTGTGGATTACGCTTCCCATGTTGGACACACTTTCATGATAATACCAGGCTCGCGAACCGGTGAGTGTTCGTGTTTGTCATTTTCAATCTGAGTTGTGTTTTTTTTTTAATTTAAAATCTGTGTCAACCTACTCCATCCTCAGCCATCTTGTTCCTTCTTGGTGTGTTATTGTCTCTTTGGTGTCTTACCAAACTAATGCACCATTCACATCAGCAAAAGATGTGTGTTTAACTGGGAATCAGAAACAGAGAACTGATAAACTTAATTTAACATAGGTTTCAAGTCGTCACTAACTTGTATTTTCAATGTGCTGAATTTGAAGTCTACAAACATCGGTTTAAATAGCTTTTATGAAGGATACAATTTTAAACTAGGCGGCACACACCTCAGAAACCCGACCAATTTTTTCGTTTTCAGTTATTAGGGTTCAAAATACTACGAATTAATTCTAATTGTGAATCTTCTTCATTTTTGTTTGTTTGTTTGTTTGTTTTTTAAAGAACGTGCTCGCGCTACTTTGAGGGATATTGGGCCAGCAGTGTGGAATGGAGGTTTCAGTACATTTTTAGCTGTGTTTCTTTTGGCGTTTTCCAATTCGTATGTGTTTAAGACGTTCTTCAAGGTAAGTAATTAAAGTAAAGGTGTATCGTAACAAATTATGGAAATATAGAATCCACAGGAATCAATTTCAACCACTGAACTACACGCGAATCATTTTTTTTCTCGACAACTTGACGCAGCAGTTTGTTGTATTCCATGTGAGTGTATGAATGCGTGTCAAGACAAAATCGATCTTTGGACTCTGTGACACTCACAGGTCCTAATTATCAGCAAATGGTAGGTTTTGAGGAAAAAAATGCAACCCTCTCTTCCCTCCCCCCCCCCTAAAAAATCAAGAGATTCTTAACTCATTCGATGCGTTAAGTGTTCATATCGTGTGTAGAGCTACGTTCATATGACTAGCAGAGTAATCCTCTGGTTTTGCTTTACTTACCTCTCTGATTGATCGGGAAATATCATGCCACCGCTTTTTTAACCCATCAGATGAAACGTTCAAAACCAATGAAGACTTATGCATTTACATGCATTTACATGCATTTACCCACGCATCTGTTTGTTTGATTTTTCAGTGTGAGTTCTCCTTGGCTCCTGTGATATTTCCACTGTTCTGATGTGATTTTCTGATTACCTTATATCTAAGACACTCATTTAAGAAATGCTCTACCTATGCTCCCTGGTAATTGTTTTCAATCCATACTTGTACACGATTCAATCTTTTTTTTTTTCTTTTCTGGTTTCTTTCAGGTGTTTTTCTGTGTAGTCGTATATGGTTTGTTTCACGGCTTGTGCTACCTTCCCGTGCTGCTCAGCGCTATCGGACCAGCTCCGTACGAATCTGCGCAGTCGCATCATGATGGCAAGGGAACTAGGAGCCGGTCACCGGTCCACCCCGCGGGGCTACCGGGGGATAACGTCAGTTATGAACTGGCTGTGGCTAATGGTAAGGGCACCCCACGGAAGAGTGCCCAAAATGGCGGATATCCCATCCCACCTCCGGACTATCAAGGTGATGGTTTTAACATTTATCACAGCAACTTTCGTTTCTTACACTAGGTTTTTAACCAGCAATGTTGTATAGAACATAAATTTTCTTCTTATGTTCGATCTCGTAAAAGTTTCCTTAGCGTGGATTGACGCAGAGTATTCTTAAGTTCTCCGAACGGGATCTTGTTCCTTTGCGGGAACCACCACCCCCCCCCCCCCCCCCCCCTTCTTCTCTTTCCCCTCCCCGTTACTTCCTCACCAGATTTGTCACCTTACCATGGCAGACTGCTGTACTCATGTACGCTCCAGGGTTAAGAAACCCCTATTAACTTCCATGCGTGACTCGCGTCGAATTTCCCCTTATAGTGTTACCCCTGAATCCAATATCAAGGTAGTGACAGAAAGGGAAATGATTACCATCTTAAGAAGCTTTTGATTGTTCAACATAATACCCTTGTCAGTACCATAAGAAATGTACAGAGAATATGAATACTGTTGTAAGGGTATAAAAAGGTAGCCGTGGGTGGGGAGGATGAAATGGGTTCGTTGTTGTCCTTACTGCCCCTCTCTTACTCCCCTAGGTCCAGTTTATTTCTATCTAACGTCGTCTTTCTTGTGTATGTTAGGTGTTGATGCGTCAAATTTGGCCAATGGATCCAAAGATAATCAAGCGTTCAAATCCAGTGTTGCTACAGATCTGAACAAGGCCTAGCCGGAACACAAATTAAGTAGGATGTTAAAATTGTATACTTCCATTCTTCTGTCTTTGTTTTCTGCCCCTTTTCCAAAAAGCACCTATTTTAGATAATGATAGAGTACCTTGGAGAGACAAACACCTTCTTAATTGTCATTTTCCATCAGCATGTTCTGTTAAGGAGTGGGGGTGGGCCTTGGCCTGGTCGGCGGAGTGGTGGCTGAGCGATAAGATAGGTAGGAAAGTTATCAAAATATTTTCGATCAATAAGTTTTGAGAATGTCGCTTGTTTGCCTCTCCTTGTGGAAATTTGAAAGTGTGTTCCTTTATCTCTGAACTGATTTCTGTTGAAGGGTTTTTTTCAAGAATTTATCCAATCACAATTGGTACTTGGTAATTGGTAGCTGTGGCCTTAAAACCTAAGAAAATTTAATTAGCGGGACTTGCGGTCGAAGTATAGTCCTGAGGGAAAAGGGATTTTTGGGAAAGATAACCCGCGGGCCTTGGGTTGTGGCTAGTAAACTAGTCAAAGAATTGCCGCTTATTTTGTACATAACTTGGTAACGTTTTGGTACCATATTTAAATGAATATTTACAAGTGAATAGACGTTTTTAAACATTTTATTTACAAAACTGTATCCACATTAAACTTTGCGTATATTGTGTAGTTTTTTTTATATGCAAAACTTGTCAAACAAGTGAATTAGCTTCAACTAATAACGTAAGATGCATGTTAGTAATGTGAATCGCACCTCTGATCTAAGTTGGGAGCGATAGCAAAGGCGTTTTAGAGATGCATACGGTGACCACAAGTGCAGAGCTCTCTCTCTCTCGGACTTTCTGTTAAGATCTCGAGTCTGCAGTGTTTAGTCTTAGATAACAAAGCAACCCTAGTTCGTAAATTGCTTCATGTCAGAACGCGCAAAATGCACTTATATTCCACCTCTAGTTGCCTTACGCATCTCATAATTGTCTTTGCCGAAGTTCCCCTTGTAGAATTGAGTTACTTTTAATATGACTGCATTATAGTAAGTAATACTTTCGCACTTTTAGACTTAGCGTTAACACTTAACATAGTTTAGGATCAGATCTTAAGAAAATACTTGGGCTTGCAGCTGGCAAATGAACCTTTCTCCAAACCGGCAGCCATAGCGAGGAAGCACACGATTAAAACATTACTGAAAATTAGAAGTCGATGAAACTCAAACTATCGGGAAAGAGATGGTCAAAAGACTTTTACGTATACATTCAATGAGTTAAGGGTGTTGCGTAAATCCTTCAAACATAACAAATACTTGTGATTATCTCAAATCTTAACTCAGCTAAAAGATCATTTGCCAACGGGTGTCTCACCCAGGTACTGGAGAAAGGTCCATCATCAGTGTGTGTTTTACTGTTTAGGCCTCTGTGTAGTGTATACATTAGGTTTCCTTCGTGAGATGGGAATGCCAACTACATCCCAAGTCTGCTTTGTTCCCAGGTTCTCTCCTTTACCTTCCTTGTCGTTGAGAAGAGAGACAAGGCAGGGAAAAAAGGAGACCCTGGGAACGAGTTTAATGGTTTCTCAGTTTCTCTTAGGTGTTTTTCTATATTACCGCGAAATAGCCAATTAAGTAATGTGTACTTGTTCAAGTTGTTATTTGCATCCTGTATGGTGAAGTAAACTGTGATAACCATATTTGTGAAAAGTTTACTCAAATAAAATACTACACAAACAAATCTACGAAGTATGATGTGTACGTTAGGGGGGTGAGATTGCGAATGATAAAAGACAGCTAAATGTGATAACTACTTGACTAACCTATGCCCTTAAATAGTAAGAGTTGAATTTAGTGTCACATTCTAAAGACGCCAAAATTGCTGCCTTGTCCGCGAGGGAATGAGGAGAGCGCTGCGCGTAAACTCTGACCCAGAACCTACGGAGAAATGACCAAACGTGAGTGGAGGGAAGTGCTAAGAGACTGGACACAACGGGATTCTGAAAGTGTTACGTACCTTCCTTGTGTCTTGAGGTAGAATAACACCATCATCCCATAGACGAGCACTTCCGTAGTAACCATTTGATTCTTTTTCAAACCTAATTCACAAAAGAAAGGAATGTGGGAGTTGTGCTCGATAAGGTCTTACCGCAAGATTGCTTTGCGCATGCCTGGTTTTTGTTGTTTCAGAGCGTGCGGCGAAGTCTCATTGTTATCAGACTTAAGATGAGACGAATGTCCTCCCTCCTAAATGTTACAGAACCAATAGACAAAGTATGACAAAATGCGCAAGATTTAAAGTTCAAGTCAAAAACCGGCTCTTCACTTCTCCTTGCTGATTGCTCAAACAATTGAGTTAGAAGAGCGCTTGCCAAAAACTGGTTGCGGCGAAACTGGTGCTCAGACCGTGTTGTCAACCGCCATCTTACATCGTTTTACGGATTACCGCTGTACTTTAAGTCCGAGAGTTCCGTTCCCGTTATTGGTTTCAATAAAGTCCTGTCAGTGACTCTTCGCTACGTGTGAAAAAGACCTTTTTTGGGCCAAATATCTCTGTATCAAGTTACTCAAATTCATATTGGTTTGAATTTGTGCCATCTCGCACCGATAAGATTGATTGCTGTGACTCGTCGCCGCTTAATAGCCAGTCTCTAAGGTCCAGCGATATCAAGGCTATGGAATTTACGCTACCTTCACATTTTGTACATAACATACTAGCGTGCCTCGGTGGAGCATGTATTTACTTCCGTTCACAGTCTTTGAGCTTCCAAGTCTAATGGCTGAAATGCCAAAATACGGTAAGATTGCAACAGTTTCTTACTTGTTACTGAGCTTTTCCTTCAATGCCACGAGTTTCTCTTCGTCCAAACTATCGTCTTCTGCTTCGCGCTACATGAAATTGAGGGGAAAAAATAAGTTTTAAAGGTAAGGCAAGTGAAAAGAAGCAACGAACATTATAAGAAATAGAGATTAAAGATACTGTTACCAACACGAAATTTTCCTGTTGCCCTGCAGCCAATAGAGAAAACTGCCAAAACATTCTCCAAAACATTCTAGAAGGATTTTTTTTTACTGCTTGGTTATTCAAAGAATTTTTTTTACTGCTTGGTTATTCAAAGAATACAAAAAGTGTTCGAGATAGGATGTAATCTCTGCTGTTTACCGTGACTGGGCTAACCTTATTTCTGGGTCTCTCAGCCGCCCCCCCCCCTCCCCTTCTCCTTCCATACTCTACAAATTTGGAGAGAACAACGCAAAGGGGATGTGGTCGTTTCACACACACAAAAAAAAATTAAAAATTGATTTTTTAAGGGGGGGGACGGTGATAGGAAATTGTAAAATTAGACTATAAGATTATCCTTGTGCGAAAACTATTCCGGCAAAATCTTTCTCCATCAGCGAAAATTTCTCGGCTTAAAAATGAGGGTTTTTTAGTTATTTACTTAACATGGATTGTTACTCTCTATTTCCTTCCTCTTAACTTAAAGTGTTTGATTTAACCCACCTCTCCCTCGATAACTCGTCAGATGGTTTCTCCCTGAACTTCCGAAAATTTTCCAGTTAAAGGTCTTTTTTGCCTACGCCTTTTACTCCGGCGGAAAGACAATCCAAAGAGTATGGATGTGTAACTTAACCATTGAAACTAATTATTGATCCGAAAAAAAAAAAAAAAAACACAAAAACCAAAACAAGCTTACCTCTGCACAACACATGGAAACCATGTCCTCCACTGTATCCATGGCAACTTGTGCCGTGGGCCATGTAAATAAGAAACGCGGATTAAAAGAACGACCACACTGAAAAAAATAAATAAATAAATGAAAATTAAATTCAAGGGAATACTACCAGATTATATGAAAAGGGACAAAATGAACAACATCGAGGATGTGACCTGAAAATCTTTGATAATTGCAAGGCACATTTTGTTCCTTATTTTCAAATACCTGGACTAAGCCAACTTACAATGTAATACCTAGTTACACTGAACTTAGCCAAATACAACAAAAACGAATTTGAAAATACATACAGTTGCCAATTCGAAGAATCGAAAAAAAGCTGCCAATTATTGTTTATCTGTTTATTTTAATCAACTCGTTGGTCAAGTGTTCCATGTGTACATCAGTTATGAGGTAAGAGTTTTACTTCAGAGGCCATCAATAGGCATACCATTGCGTAACTGCTCGGTCCGTAACTGCCCTTCATGATGACAGTTATCTTTGGTACCTGATTAAAAAATAAATAATCCATTTCAAGATTTGTCAATGTTTAAAAAGAAGTTCAAAGAGTAATAAATATCTAACGTTATTTCTTTCCAAGATTTACTACACGTATCTTATAAATAGCGACCGAAATGAGGAACTTATCATGAGAAAAATTATTCTCAGAGTAAGAAAGGATATAAAATAAGCAGGCAGTAATGAAAACTTTATATAAAACTTTTTTGAACTTTCCAGAAAATTGAGTCTCACATTGTTTTGACAGTACCACGCAAAAGTAAGCTATCAACGTATCGTAAATCTAGGAGTCGACAGTCTCGACGCCTAGAGCCCGCTTTTCGAACCTACCGGTATGAATATCTTGCCACGACTCTCGTCTTGCGATAAGGTAAGAAAATAAACAAACGCAAAAGCAAATTCAATTTTCCGAGGCACTCCAAAGCAGTACAGCATGTCCACAACCAAGCAACTTTCTATCGCGAAGCACGAATCGGTAAGAAAGCAAAGCCATCATCATTGAAAGCATCGCGTATAAAAGTTACAGCTGCTTGCATGACTGTGTAGAGCATTTGGCCCTAGCTACTTTTCCAAAAAAAAAAACCGATGCCTGGCTGAATGATACTTTTTAGGCTAACCGATGAAACGATGCTCAGCTGTTTCTGCCCTGTACACTCGATTATGAAGTGACCCTATACCCACTCATGACTTTGGAATCGCGTCCATTGCTATAATGCTTTTTCACTCCGAAAATGCCCATCAGATAAAGATTTTTATAACTAGCATTGGCGGCGTGAAAGTCCCTCAATCCATCACTTTCCGTGAAATTCCCATCATGCATTAGACTGTTAGTTTTTTTTAAACCATGCATCATACCTGAGCACAGGCTACCGCTGACATCAGTTTTGCTTGATCTTTGATCAAACAGGCGCTGTTCTCTACGGGTAAACCGGCGTGAGTCTGAGGCAAAGTGTTTTGAAGGAACAAGAGAGGGACGTTCCGCTGACAACACAACTCCACAAAATGCGTGCCCTAAAAAGAAAACTCACAAATATAAGTCACAAGGAGATAATTGGTCAAAGAACACTTTTCATTTTATTGACGCTACATCAAAACCCAAGTAATCGCAAACTGACCAATCAGAAAAAAGAAAAGTACTACCGACAGCCAATAAGAAGTCAGAATAAATATTCTGCGCGATAACACGCGGGTAAACAAGTCGCAATTGATTTAGCTTGCGAGCATGCCCTTCTTATAAGTGATTTAGGACAAGCGTTTCTTTGCCTGAGTGAAAGTACGAGGCCTTGAACAACTCTGTGAAGTCTACAACGAGTCTAGCGTTGGTAATTCATTAGTGCCAGACCCCCGGCAAACCTCTCTCCGAATAATCTCAGATCTTTCCACGGACTTGAGTTGCACACATTACAGTTCATCGCTTTGATTTCAACTCCCAAACACAGAGAAATCTGTTGGCTATTTTTCCTCACCAATGATAAGTTGTGATCCAAATTTTTTTTAAGGTAGCATTTACCAACAAAAAAAAGTTTCGCCGATCTCCACCCGAGCAGGGAACAACGACCAAACTTTTAGCTTAGATAACGGGTTTTACTTGATGTACAAGTTTCCAATGTTGTATTTCGTCTTAGCTGAACTAACATCATATAAATTTACCTTCAAAGACGCTTGAGATGTTAATTCACCATTATTTGCGATAATTCCGACCAAGTACCTAAAGAGGAGAATGAAAACCAGATTTGAAGGTATTTTCAAGATAACCCCTTGATTCATTCACAGATAACATCACTACAATCTTTTCGAAAGGTATGAGTAACACTCGGCCTAAAAAAGTAAGGATAAATTGTTTGACTTGAGCGCACTACACCAAGACATATCCAAACCCATTAACCCTTAAAAGTGACCAGCATTTAATTTCTCCTTACAATATCACCTCTGAAGCATACATCAAGGTCAAGAGAATGAACGAAATGATCACCAACTACAGAAACTCTTGATTTTTAAACAAATTCTCCTTAACAGCACCCTAGGAAATGTATGGAGAACGGTATGGAAAATATGCATACTGATGTTAGGGTGTTAAGGGTTAATTAGGATGTCACAATGTAAACCTCACCCATGAACACGAGCAAATCCTGTGATTAGTTCTGGTCCAAATCTGGTTTTAAACTCCTGGAACTGGCTTCCATCAACAAGTCTTGCTAATATCTAACCATAAAATTACAGAGAGGCGTTCGTTACCTTGTTTGTCGCTGCAATTAAATGTTAAAAGCAACGTTTGATACTCTGAGGAATCTCTCTCACCTCATACATAGGAAATTGTGTATTGTCATATAGTGCAAGGGCTAAAAGATCATCGCTATCAAACAAAGGAGCTTGTACATCTAGAAAAAAAACAAAAGAATAAGGGGGAAAAAGAGCTTGCTGAGGATGCAGATCTAACGTAACATTATCTACATTTCCTGACTGAAAGACAGTCAAACAGAAAGGTTCACTGATTGCCTGACAAACCAACCACAGAGACAAACACATACGTGGTTACCTGACTAAATAAATGCATTGATCGACCAACGAACTAACTGACTTACCATCAATAAGATTAAGCGAACAACTATGAACTAAATATACTGGTTGACTGATTGTGTGAGTCAGTCCCTGACTAAATAACTAGCTGACTTGATAACTGACTGAAACTCTGTCTGTGTGTCTACTTGTATGTTGTCTGACTAACTGACTGACCAACTGACTGACTGACCAACTAACTGACCGACTGACTAAATGTCTGTCTGCCTGTCTGCTGTCCGACTCCCTGACCAGCTTATTGACCAACTGAGTAACTGACTGACTGCCTGAACTCCCTGACTGACTGACTGACTGATTGACTGACCAACTGATTGACTGACTGCATCAACTGACTGACTGCCTAACTGAATGCTTGACTGAACTCCCTGACTAACTGACTGACTGAACTCCCTGACTAACTGACTGACTGAACTCCCTGACTGACTGGCCGCCTATCTACCTGACTGACCAACACACTGACAGGCTGATTGAATGACTGAAGAACAGTCTGAAAGGACTTTTCAACTAGCAAGCTGACAGTTTGGAATGGTCAATTGACTGACTGACTGACTGACTGACTGACTGACTGACCAACAGACTAACTGACTGGTCAGCTAACCAAGATGCCAACTGACTGATTGCATTTACTACAGCTATACAGTGTTGTATAAAATGATCCCACCTGATGAAGTAACCCACTGCTCTCTATTTAGCGTGGCTACAATATTTCTTGTTGTTTCCATTGCACTGTCTTCATCAGCTTCAAAATGATCTGTACATCCACTGACACTGATAATAATACCAGCACCATTGATAAGTCTCAGAAGACTAGCTGACTACAAAAAAACTCTAAATATTTAATGGAAATAGCACAACTTTGAGGACAGAGCCAAACATAGTTGGGGAGGCACCTGGGACAATGCATTTAACACATATTTAATGCAAAAATTAATTATCTAACAGATTAGAGTGGTCTTACATCTAATAAAATGCCTGAATATACAAACAATGGTTCCACTAATAATCTTATAGAGGTTACTGAACATGTAAGCAAGTAACAATTCTACACATATTTTAATTGGTTCTATTGGAGAACAGACACATAGCTGACATCACAATTTACAATTGTTTACTTCTTTATTATATAAATAAATCTATTTTTTTTATATATTATATAAAACAAATAGATTCCATGTTACTGTGGGTTGATACAATAACAAATCCCAGAAGACCTCAAAATGTGGTAAGAACATTATTGACAAACTCTGTTGCACCTTGTGTGCTACTTTTTTGTTCTTACCACATTTTTGACATGATCTGTGATCTGCTATTGAACAGATGCTAGGCATTGTGGATTCTATTTGTTAACTGTGCATACCTGGAGTGCATCAAAGCCCCGCCTAGTTCCTCTGCACTGACAACTTCCCCAGTAGCAGCCTAAAACAAGACAAGTCCATAATTCAGAATAAAATGAAAACCAGGTCCCAGTTGTTCAAAGGTTATGCAATGGATAAATCCCTATCTGGTGGACAGTGTAGTGCATTCTGCTCTCACTTATCCACTGGATAGAAATTTATCCATTGGATATGGTTATCCACCCATTATAACTGGGCCCTGAATGTTTGCAAAAATTTCACCAATTTGCATGCTCATATACTCAGTTATAATGACCTACCTTTACTAGCGGAGGGCCACCAAGGAAGATTGTACCAATTTTGTCCACAATAACAGCTTCATCTGCCATTGTGGGTACATATGCAGCACCAGCTGTACAAGATCCACACACCACACAAATCTGTAAATACAAGTCCTAATGATCAAGACAATGGTCTGATCTGGATTATATTGGCCTGCACAACCAGACCTGATCCTAGTTTAAGAAATAATTGAGATATTACGAGCATCCTGTCTTTAATTGCAGAGGCAAACCTTTAGAAAAGAAAATTTTATTTAAAAATAGCATTAAACTGCACTTTCTATCAGTTTACTGGTATATTGACCCACTTGGGATGTTGGGAGAACAATAGAAAAAAGTTTGTGAATCACTCATACTTGGCTGATAAACTTGACAAATTGTTCTTGTGTCCACCAAACATCTCACATGGGTAACATAAGGCCAGTAAATCGACAGAAAGAGCCATCCATTGCTTAACCCATTCACCCCCAAGATCTCCTTATTAATTTTTCCTTACTATCTGTCATACAATTCTTATGATGTTAGTAGGAAGAATTTGGTATTAAATCAACTAATAATCCCCTCATTAAAATTTTTTACTCTCATCACTTTTCTGCTTGATATTGTATTGATATTGAAGGGAGAATTCTGTCTTGGTCACTCATGGGAGTTAATGGATTAATAATGATGATGATAATAATAATAATAATAATAATAATAATATCAACTTACAGTTGGAACTGCATTCATTGACATCACAGCCTCATTATAAAACACACGCCCTCCAGTTTCTGGGAATATGTCAGCCTGTTGTAAGACCAGTAAATTTGTAATCAGAATTACTGAAAGTTTTTAAAATAATAATAATAATAATAATAATAACAATAATAACAATAATAATAATAGGGTATTATAAAAACAATAATGATAGTTGTACTAATAACAGTTACTGTGATAATGATAACATTAAGGTGTTGATTAACCAAAAGTTTACATGTTGTCTGTTCAGTAATAGATTATAGATAACATCAAATATGTGGTAAGAGCAAAAAAATGGCTCGTGAGGTGAAGCTGATGTTTTCACCACCTTTTGAAGTCTTCTGCGATCTACTGATGCAAGGACCCATGGAAACACAAAATATAATTAAAGAAAGATGCTTTTTTCGTCTTGTCACAAGCGTGGGACAAAGAAAAAATTCTGAGTCCCCACAAGAAATCAAACCTCAGACCTTCAGATTCTGTGCTCTGATACTCTACCTGAGCCACAGAGACTCCACAGTGAGCAAGGTCTATTACAAAGTTTGTAAGACACACGTCCTGCATACTGCTAGGATCAGCAATGTCAATAACATAATGTTTGTAGATAGAAATAAGAGAGATGGAGATAAGAGAGACAAAATATTATTGTTTTACATAATAAAGAAGCCAAAATTATTAATAGTGATGTCATCTATGTGTCTTTCTTTCATAGATCATATGTAAGAACCAATCAAAATATGTGCGTAATTCAACTCATTTTAAAAATGCTGAAAAACAAATTGTTACGTGTTGCCAAAATGGTGGGTAACCTTGGGCAAATTGTTCTTGCCTAAAACCAGCAGAGATGACACAGATCAATAGATCATAACCTGGTCCAGAGACAAAAATAGCAATAATAATACTAATATTGATAATAAAAATAACGATAACCATAATTATAGAGCAACAGAAATTAAGGACAAATTGAGTAATCGTTTTTAACCATACTGGTTAATCTGCTAATTAAAACTTAACAAGTTTAGATAACTTTTTTTGTTTATTTTTGTTCACAAGAGCACACCATCATATTAGTTACTATCCATCAGGGAATAGACACCCCTAGCATCTAATTTCTCCTTACAAAATCACCCCTGAATCAAACATGAAAGTCAGGAGAATAAATGAAAATGATCACCAACTGAAGAAGCTCTCGATTCTTGAGCAAATTTTCCTTGTCAGCACCTTAAGAATTGTATAGAGAACAGTATGGAAAATATAAATACTGATTTTAGGATGAACAGGGTTAATTACCTGCAATGGAAGAAATGCTCCTCCTGAATCCATCAGAAAAATACAAGGAAGCTTGTTCACTTCTGCAATTTCTTGAGCCCTGAGCTGCTTCTTAACTGCAATAGGGTAAATAGTTCCACCTTTTACTGTGGCATCATTAGCAACGATGACACACAACTGTCCTGCAACTTGTCCAATTCCTGACACCACTCCTGCGCTTGGCACGTTGCCATATTCAAGATCAAGCCCGGCGAATTGTGACAACTCAAGAAAGTCAGTTCCGTCATCCAATAGTTTACTAAGTCTCTCTCGAACTAAAAGCTTTTTGTTCCTCTTCGTGTGCCGCTCAATTGCTTTCTCACCACCACCCAGCAACGCAATATTTGTAAATTCTTTAAACGATTTAAGAATCTCAGTTTGTTGAGTTAGCTTTGATAAAAACGCTGGACTATTTCTATCGACGTAGCCGTCAATAACTTTAAAGTTAGGAAAATTTGATACTGGTTTAGCCCATGCAGAGTTAGACAAAAGTGATCCTGCGAGTCGCGATGATATTCCACGTAAGCGAGATGTCCCGTAAAAAACACTATTAGACATAGTATCGTCGAAAATCAAAGGAAAATCACAACGAAGTGAGCCAGTAAATCCTTGTAGAGGAATAATCTCTCTCTTATTTGAGGTGATGAATCCACTCGATTTTCACAAAAATTCAATCCATGAACGATATCTTATAAATTATTGGATTTGGAAAAAACTGATTCATAGGCGCCATCTTGGTTTTAGGCTAGGTGCCTTAATAAGGTATGTCCAGTCCATTCGCAACGTGAGCTGCGCGGTTGAAACAACAGATGACGGACTCGAAGAAGATAACATCTAGAACTACTTAACCTTTTTTTTCTATCCCTAATAATGGTCCTTAACCACCGCCTAGGATTTCAGAGGCGCATTGGATTTTCAGTGTTTCTGTGGGAGTGCTCCTGAGTCGGTTTGACCAGCACTTACCC